CTATAATGAACTCCTATTTTTTACTCTAAATTCTTACTCCTTCATATAAATCATTGATATAGACATCTTTTATGGGATTCACATGATGAAAATATATTATACTTGTTTGTCATAGCATAAAAGAAAAAAGGATCAAATTAGTTCGTAAATCATCAATCAGATTGTGCAATTGGGTTCTCTAAGTAAAATAATAATAATAATAATAATAATAATAATAATAATAATAATCATCATCATCATCATCATCATCATCATTTCAAATCCCCTAAATTGGTAAACCATTAAATAATTAAGTTCAAATTGACTTGTTTAGTTGGTTAACTCATGGTATGTTTGACACTTTTTTTTTTTTTTTAATAATGAAGTTGTAATAATCTAAAAATAAATTTATAACAAAATTTAATAAACTTATAAAATATTAGACAATATATAAAAAATAAAGCTATAATCATAATTAAGATCCATGATATAATTTTTCACAAAACAAAGTTGTACGGTTTGATTTTAACTTGAGAAACAAGTAAATTAACGTTCTTGTTTCCAAAAAAAAAAAAAAACATTCTTGTTTGAGTACATCTGTACATGTATAGATAGTGTAGTCTTTTTAGGAAGCTATAGATAGTGTAGTCTACTTGAATTATAATTTCTATTCTTAATCAAACTGAGAATTTCAATTTTTTTTTTTTTTTGGAAACAAAATTTCTATTCTTAATCAAATTGTAATTTGTATCCGTTGTCCTATTATAACTGGTATTAGTATCTAGTACAAACTATAAATACACCTGGATATCCTCTTACTTTCTCATTGCTTCTCTAGCTTAGCTTCCTCCTATTATACTGTTATATTCTCTTGTTAGTTTTCTTTAATTAGTTTGGTAATCCAACAATGGCTGGCGGTGGAATTGCTCATGCATCTAGCAAAGAATATCCCGGAAAACTTACTGGATATGTCATTGTTACTTGCATGGTGGCTGCCATGGGTGGACTGATTTTTGGTTATGATATCGGGATTTCAGGTATATATAATTACAAGTTTTTTCCGACATATATATATGTATAAAGTTTAATGGCCTGGTTATCTTAATAGGTTATTGAAAATTGATGTTATATATGTTTCTTGGATTTTTGATAGGGGGTGTGACTTCAATGGATACCTTCTTGGAAAGGTTTTTTCCAGATGTTTATAGAAAGCAGAGCCTGGATTCTTCCACGAATCAGTACTGTAAGTTTAACAGCGAAACACTAACCATGTTTACGTCTTCGTTGTACTTGGCCGCCCTGGTTTCCTCCATGGTTGCCTCGTATGTCACCAGAAAATTGGGGCGGAGGACTTCCATGATGGCCGGAGGTTTCATCTTCTGCGTCGGAGCTCTCCTCAACGGCTTTGCTCAAGCTCTTTGGATGTTGATTGTTGGCCGCGTTTTGCTGGGTTTTGGCATTGGATTTGCCAATCAGGTATTCTTCGATCACCAATTCATCATTGTTGTCTGAAATTAGATTCGTACTAAATGCAGTAGCGGCTGGGGAATAAGCAAGGTGAAATTCCCTTGTTCAAGAATTGACTGAATTTTTTGTTTGTATTGTGCAGTCTGTTCCACTTTATCTATCAGAGATGGCGCCATCAAAATACAGAGGAGCACTCAACATTGGCTTCCAGCTTTTCATCACAGTGGGGATCTTAATAGCCAATGTGGCCAACTATTTCTTCGCCAAGATCTCATGGGGGTGGCGATTGAGCTTGGGCGGTGCGGTGGTTCCTGCTCTCATCATCACAATCGGCTCTATCTTCCTCCCGGACACCCCAAACTCCATGATTGAGCGTGGGAACCACGGCGAAGCAAAATCCAGGTTGAGAAGAATCAGGGGAGTAGACAATGTGGAGGAAGAGTTCAACGACTTGGTTGCTGCTAGCTATGCTTCTAACCAAATCAAGCATCCATGGAAAAACCTCCTGGAAAGGAAGTATAGGCCCCAGTTCGTAATGTCAATGATGATTCCATTTTTCCAGCAACTCACTGGCATCAATGTCATCATGTTCTATGCCCCGGTCTTGTTCAAAACTGTCGGGTTTGGAAGCAACGCTTCTCTTGTATCTTCTGTGATTACCGGCGCTGTTAATGCTCTAGCTACTTTGGTTTCTGTTGCATTCGTTGATAGAGCTGGGAGAAGGTTCTTCTTCCTTGAAGGCGGCATTCAAATGCTTATTTGCCAGGTAACGCAATTCATTCTACAGTCTATCGATCTCAACCTTCCTTAATTAATAAGATTGATTAATGTTCTTTAATTAATTTAAACAATCTGCTGTTGTAGATTATTGTTACAGTTTGCATTGGGGTGAAATTTGGAACCAGTGGAAATCCTGGGGATTTGCCCAAATGGTTTGCTGCAGTGGTGGTGATTTTCATCTGCACATACGTTGCTGGATTTGCATGGTCGTGGGGGCCTCTGGGTTGGCTCGTGCCCAGTGAAATATTCCCGTTGGAGATCCGATCAGCAGCTCAGAGCATCAACGTTTCCGTCAACATGATCTTCACCTTTTTCGTCGCTCAAGTCTTCCTCAACATGCTGTGTCACTTAAAGTTTGGATTGTTCATCTTCTTTGCCTGTTTTGTGGTTGCCATGACTGTGTTTGTATACTTCCTGGTGCCGGAGACGAAGAACATTCCCATTGAAGACATGAGTGTTGTCTGGAAACACCATTGGTTCTGGAAAAAGTTCACTGCCCAAGTTGATTATCCAAGAAATTCAATGCAAGATATTGAGATTGTTTAGTAGCATAGATATATTATTATTATTTTTTTTTTTTTTTGTAGTTAGCAAATATTTTCTATACTGATGTAATTTTAGGAAAAGTTTAAATGTTTAATAATGTGTTTGGTTTGAACTTAGTAATTGGAATATATTTTGCATATTAAATAGTTGGCATGCAGGAATTGGAATGATTATTTTGTTTTGTTATGTATGACTAAAATTAGAATAAATGTTGTAAAAATAAAAACAAAAACAGAAAATTAAGAAAGCTTCCAACGCAGTGTTAAGTAATTGCAGGCTTTCAAGCTTGAGGTTACACTTACACAGATCTGCATACAAATGCATCTGATCTGCTGCTTATATTCTTCTTTAATTTACATATATCTATCCACATTGTGATGATTGAATCTCTGAAATCTTTTGTTTGTTTTGGTAAGAAATGCGGCAAAAAGAAGGTTGCATCAGAGAGAGAAATAACAAGATAGGATTCCAGTAAGATACTGTAATTTTGGTGATGATTTTCTTACTGATGATATGGTGTTGCTATAGTGTTTGAATTGGTTCTTTCTGTTAATTAACAACCTTCTTGTGTTAACATTCATCAGGTGATTATTGAGAAGTTAAAAAGGAGTGATGCTCCTGATATTGATAACAAAAAGTAATAAGCACTGATTTCATAAAAAGATGTCTACTTCAAAGATTTATATGAAGAAGTAAGAATTTAGAGTAAAAAATAAGAGTTCATTATAGTATTTTTCTCATCAAAGGCTTACCATAACACTAAAAAATATAGCACATAGTGAATAGTGCTAGATTTGTCACTTTACCAACCTCCGTCCAACAAATATTAATTTGATATATTTAGAAAAATACAAAAACATGTTAGATTGTCTAATGCATATAATTTGTGACTAGGCTACACTTGGAGAATTTCTGTCCCTAATTTTTGTTACCAATCACTAGATGTGTGCATAATTAGATGAAAAATTGATTAATTGACCGAATTAAAAAAATTTGGTTAACCAATTTTTGATCGAAATATTTCAATTCAATTAATGGTTAAGAATTTTTAATTTCGGTTAACGGTTAATTTAGTTTAAAAGTGTTGATTAATCGAATTGCATAGTTATGTATATATGTTTTACTTTTATAATTCATAAATAATATTATTAAATTTCTTTCAAAATTTATGATTTATGTATTGATGTAATGCCTATTTATAAATTTACAAATTTTAAAGTTTTTAAAATTGGACTAAAATATTTTGGTTAACCAACCACTTAACCAAAAAAAAAAAAAAAACAAAAAAAAAAAAAACAAAACAATTTGATTAATTTGCAAATATAAATTTTAATTCATGATTAAAGCATTTAGAAATTTAATTAATTCGATTCGAGTATTAATTGAACAAACGCCTGCCCTACCAATAATCACATACATTATCCTGTTTTGCACTTCTACCCAATATTGTTGAAAATTGTTTTCTTGTTGTGGCTAATGAAAGAGGGCAAACCTACCATTCGTTGCATATCGAGCACTTCATCAGATTGTGCCAAAAATAATAATAATAATAATAATACAAAATACCCAAAAAAAAAACAAAAAACAAACAAACAAACAAACAAATAAACAAACAAAAATACGTACTTGAAGTTCACTAACATGATATGATTTACCTCCAATTCTCGAGAAAGGTGTGTGTCCAACTGTCAAGTGTGTGCATTATATGTGTTATTTGTGTATTGAGAATTTTATTATATGAAAAATATTTTAGAATGATTTTTTTTTACTCTTTTCATATATTATAAGCAATATTAAAATATTTTGTAAAATTAAATCTATAACATTTATTAAGTAAATCATGTCCGTTCATTAATGATGTAAAAACTATATATACATGTTAAACAGGTGTAGTTCAATTAAGGGTTAGATTACTCTCATTACTTTTAATGTATATTATTATCACTTTATTATATAAAAATTAATATAAAAAATATATAATAGCATTTATTTTTTATAAATCAATAAAATTTTGAAATATAATTAATGATAAAATTAAAATAATAAGAATTGTCAAAAGACATTGTATTTAATTATTATTATAAAATTATAGACACACAAAAATCATCATGTCTACAAATGAACTTGTTATATGGTCTTAATTGCTATGTAAGCTGTGATTCACAGTATAATTATTGTATAAAATATATATATAGTCCTACTTACAGAGGGGAGTTGTTAAAAGTAAATCAAAGTCCCAAGCTTAAATCCAAAGTGGGGAGGGGGGCAGCAAAAGAAGAACGATCCTGATCCTGGTGGTGGGGATCGGGAGCAGGTGTTGGTGTTGGGACCAAGTTCAAGTTGAAGTCCAAATAGTTATTGGTACAAGGAGGAGGAGGTTGGGTATTGTGATCTCCTCTATCCCTGCAGTGGAATCTCTTGTGTCCACCCAAGGCTCTACCACTGGAGAAAACTCTGGAACAGATGCTACAAGTGTGACTTTGACGTTGATGATTGTGTATGTTAATCATCTCATCATCATCATCTTCTTCTCTTATTCTTCCTCCATTGTTCCTACTGCAGCAGCTAATACCAAAACCTAACCCAACCGCCTCCTGTTGCGGCTTAAGCTGATGATCCACAGGCACAGCATTATTGGCCAACAGTAACAAGCATGCGGCAACCTCGTGATCTTCCTCCGTCATTCCTCCTACCATCTTTTCTGAATAATAATAATAATAGTAACCACCGGAAGGGCCACATTCATCATCATTATCATCATGATGAGGAGGCCATGTACTGGAACTACTCAAAGGAGAAGGAGAAGGTCGCCTGAAATTTGGGGGAGGATTAATGCCGCGCCACTGCCGCTCTGGGTGGCAGCGCATGTGCCCAAACAGGGCCTTCCATGACCAGAACTTCTTACCGCACTCGCTACACGGCCTCGCGATCTTTGGTGCATCCTGGTCTGGCGGCGTCAGCGGCGGCTTCTTTCGATATTTGGGCTGCTTGCTGCTTGTACTGGTACTGCCACTCCCAAGGGGGTCCATGTGCTTTACTTTACTACTCTTTCTTCTTACTTTCTTGGGGTAACAGTTCAAGCCTCCTACCATGTGCCGCTGCTGGAAAGTAGCCGTAGCATCGCTAGCGCTTGATCCCGCCGGTGGTGGTGGTGGTGGCGGCAGAATGAAGTTACGAGTATCATTGGTGTTGGCGTTCATGGTATAGTATGTAGTAGATACCAATTGAGAGAAAGAGATTGAATTACCAAAAGTTGTATGAAATGGTGTAGCACCCAACTATATAGTCTAATCCAGGAGCAGTTATTGAATTTTTAAAATTTAAAAAAAAAAAAATTGTGGGATGGGTAGTTTCTTTCAGTTGCACATCTCTATCTATATATTATTATATATATATAGTTCCTAACTCCAAGGACAAATTAAAAGAGAAAATGGAAGAAATTGGGCGGAGAAGATGGAGCAAATTAAATGGAGATTGGAGATTGGAGATGGAAGGCAGCCACATCCGAATATCCGATCCGCGCATGTATATATATAAATGGCTTAGCTTATGAGTTATGGTGGCCTGCATTATGCATATTAGTTAGTAGTTACACACATATCCCACCCCACTTAGTTACCCTCTATCTCCACTACTTCCGCTTTATTAACAAACCCACCTATATTCTGGGAAACTCTTCTTTCCTCTTTTTTCTTCATTTCTCATCTTACATGCATGCATGCATGCATTTACTCTTTCTTCTTACTAATTACTTGTGCTTCAATTCTCCCTCCCTCTTCACGCCAGTATAAGTAGATAATAATAGATTAACAACAAATTAAAATGGCCAACGCCTACAATATAATATACACCATGCATGTTACAAATTGGAGTGAAGTGTTCCTGGAATGGAAGTTAAACAAATTAATCAATCAGCTTTGCAGCAAGCCACATAATTCTCATCTTCACAACATTATTATTTACTTTTCACTGTTAGTTTCACTTCAAAGCAATGAATAATACTACTACACTATACAAACTTTGCTTCAATACACTTGCTATGTATATTATATTATATATTTCCTACATCTTCTCTCATCTGCCTGCCTCTTCAACTCCACCCTCACCCTTGCTAGCATGCTCTGGAATTCCAATCCTTCCCCAGTACATCCAACACTTTGACCCATCGCATTTCTTTTGCTGACAACCATGGATGGACTTGGTGGATTTAGATTTGGTAGCTGATGCGTATGATCCTAAAACTCACTTGAACAGTAGTGCTACTATTATCACCACCACAAGATTACTCAAATAGGGATTGCTGTAATCAACTCTGTGTTTTCAACATTCATTGGATTCTAGACAGACCAACTATAATATGTTTGGAGAAAATAATGTAAATGGAAGCTTCTTAATTTTCTGTTTTTATTATTTTTTTTTTTCGACTTTTTCTGTTTTTATTTTTATTTTTACAACATTTATTCTAATTTTAGTCATACATAACAAAACAAAATAATCATTCCAATTCCTGCATGCCAACTATTTAATATGCAAAATATATTCCAATTACTAAGTTCAAACCAAACACATTATTAAACATTTAAACTTTTCCTAAAATTACATCAGTATAGAAAATATTTGCTAACTACAAAAAAAAAAAAAAATAATAATAATATATCTATGCTACTAAACAATCTCAATATCTTGCATTGAATTTCTTGGATAATCAACTTGGGCAGTGAACTTTTTCCAGAACCAATGGTGTTTCCAGACAACACTCATGTCTTCAATGGGAATGTTCTTCGTCTCCGGCACCAGGAAGTATACAAACACAGTCATGGCAACCACAAAACAGGCAAAGAAGATGAACAATCCAAACTTTAAGTGACACAGCATGTTGAGGAAGACTTGAGCGACGAAAAAGGTGAAGATCATGTTGACGGAAACGTTGATGCTCTGAGCTGCTGATCGGATCTCCAACGGGAATATTTCACTGGGCACGAGCCAACCCAGAGGCCCCCACGACCATGCAAATCCAGCAACGTATGTGCAGATGAAAATCACCACCACTGCAGCAAACCATTTGGGCAAATCCCCAGGATTTCCACTGGTTCCAAATTTCACCCCAATGCAAACTGTAACAATAATCTACAACAGCAGATTGTTTAAATTAATTAAAGAACATTAATCAATCTTATTAATTAAGGAAGGTTGAGATCGATAGACTGTAGAATGAATTGCGTTACCTGGCAAATAAGCATTTGAATGCCGCCTTCAAGGAAGAAGAACCTTCTCCCAGCTCTATCAACGAATGCAACAGAAACCAAAGTAGCTAGAGCATTAACAGCGCCGGTAATCACAGAAGATACAAGAGAAGCGTTGCTTCCAAACCCGACAGTTTTGAACAAGACCGGGGCATAGAACATGATGACATTGATGCCAGTGAGTTGCTGGAAAAATGGAATCATCATTGACATTACGAACTGGGGCCTATACTTCCTTTCCAGGAGGTTTTTCCATGGATGCTTGATTTGGTTAGAAGCATAGCTAGCAGCAACCAAGTCGTTGAACTCTTCCTCCACATTGTCTACTCCCCTGATTCTTCTCAACCTGGATTTTGCTTCGCCGTGGTTCCCACGCTCAATCATGGAGTTTGGGGTGTCCGGGAGGAAGATAGAGCCGATTGTGATGATGAGAGCAGGAACCACCGCACCGCCCAAGCTCAATCGCCACCCCCATGAGATCTTGGCGAAGAAATAGTTGGCCACATTGGCTATTAAGATCCCCACTGTGATGAAAAGCTGGAAGCCAATGTTGAGTGCTCCTCTGTATTTTGATGGCGCCATCTCTGATAGATAAAGTGGAACAGACTGCACAATACAAACAAAAAATTCAGTCAATTCTTGAACAAGGGAATTTCACCTTGCTTATTCCCCAGCCGCTACTGCATTTAGTACGAATCTAATTTCAGACAACAATGATGAATTGGTGATCGAAGAATACCTGATTGGCAAATCCAATGCCAAAACCCAGCAAAACGCGGCCAACAATCAACATCCAAAGAGCTTGAGCAAAGCCGTTGAGGAGAGCTCCGACGCAGAAGATGAAACCTCCGGCCATCATGGAAGTCCTCCGCCCCAATTTTCTGGTGACATACGAGGCAACCATGGAGGAAACCAGGGCGGCCAAGTACAACGAAGACGTAAACATGGTTAGTGTTTCGCTGTTAAACTTACAGTACTGATTCGTGGAAGAATCCAGGCTCTGCTTTCTATAAACATCTGGAAAAAACCTTTCCAAGAAGGTATCCATTGAAGTCACACCCCCTATCAAAAATCCAAGAAACATATATAACATCAATTTTCAATAACCTATTAAGATAACCAGGCCATTAAACTTTATACATATATATATGTCGGAAAAAACTTGTAATTATATATACCTGAAATCCCGATATCATAACCAAAAATCAGTCCACCCATGGCAGCCACCATGCAAGTAACAATGACATATCCAGTAAGTTTTCCGGGATATTCTTTGCTAGATGCATGAGCAATTCCACCGCCAGCCATTGTTGGATTACCAAACTAATTAAAGAAAACTAACAAGAGAATATAACAGTATAATAGGAGGAAGCTAAGCTAGAGAAGCAATGAGAAAGTAAGAGGATATCCAGGTGTATTTATAGTTTGTACTAGATACTAATACCAGTTATAATAGGACAACGGATACAAATTACAATTTGATTAAGAATAGAAATTTTGTTTCCAAAAAAAAAAAAAAATTGAAATTCTCAGTTTGATTAAGAATAGAAATTATAATTCAAGTAGACTACACTATCTATAGCTTCCTAAAAAGACTACACTATCTATACATGTACAGATGTACTCAAACAAGAATGTTTTTTTTTTTTTTTGGAAACAAGAACGTTAATTTACTTGTTTCTCAAGTTAAAATCAAACCGTACAACTTTGTTTTGTGAAAAATTATATCATGGATCTTAATTATGATTATAGCTTTATTTTTTATATATTGTCTAATATTTTATAAGTTTATTAAATTTTGTTATAAATTTATTTTTAGATTATTACAACTTCATTATTAAAAAAAAAAAAAAAGTGTCAAACATACCATGAGTTAACCAACTAAACAAGTCAATTTGAACTTAATTATTTAATGGTTTACCAATTTAGGGGATTTGAAATGATGATGATGATGATGATGATGATGATTATTATTATTATTATTATTATTATTATTATTATTTTACTTAGAGAACCCAATTGCACAATCTGATTGATGATTTACGAACTAATTTGATCCTTTTTTCTTTTATGCTATGACAAACAAGTATAATATATTTTCATCATGTGAATCCCATAAAAGATGTCTATATCAATGATTTATATGAAGGAGTAAGAATTTAGAGTAAAAAATAGGAGTTCATTATAGTATTTTTCACATCAAACGCTTACCACAGTACTAAAAAGTATAGCACATAGTGAAGACGTAACTTTATTTTCTTATACCGACACATTTTCAAGGAGCAAGGTGCTGGATTTGGACCTTCAAACCTCTACCTAACAATCATCTTAACTACCTCGAATTAGATTTGTTCCTTCACTAACCTGCGCCTAACAAATATTAATTTGATATATTTAGAAAAATGCAAAAACATGTTAGAATGTCTAATGCACATAATTTGTGACTAGGCTACACTTTTAAGGAGAATTTTTGTCCCTAATTTTTATAACCATAACCAATCACTAGGGGTTTCCATAATTCGGTGACAAATTGGTTAATTGACCAAATCAACAAAATTTGATTAACCAATTTTTAATCGAAATATTTCAATTCAATTAATGATTAAGAATTTTTAATTTCGGTTAACAGTTAATTTGATTCAAAACAGTTGGTTAACTGGATTGCATGTGTATGTATATATGTTTAATGTTATAATTCATAAATAATATTATTAAATATTTTTCAAAATTTTTAATTTTTGTTAACGGTTAATTAATTTGGTTCAAAAGTGTTGGTTGACTGAATTACATATGAATGTATATATATGTTTTAATTTTATAATTCATAAATAATATTATTAAATATTTTTCAAAATTTATTATTTATTTAGTGATGTAATGACTATTTATAAAGGTTTTTAAAATTGGACTTAAATATTTTGGTTATGTTAACCGACCACTTAACAAAAAAAAAAATCAATTTGATTAATTTGTAAATATAAATTTTAATTCAATTCATGATTAAAGCATTTAGAAAGTTAATTAATTCGATTCGATTATTAACCGATGAAGTTTTTGAGAAAGTTTACTCCTGCAAGAACAAAAAAATTTCAAAAACTTTTGTTAAAAAAAAAATAAAAATTGGCAGGGCCGTTTGGGGCGCATTGCCCGCCCCACCCACTAGGATTTAAAAAAAAAAAAAAAAAACTTTTTGGCCGTTGCTACTAGGAGTGAGCATCGGTCGGTTTTTGGTTAATAACCGAAATAATAATAAAAAAAAATTACCCTTCTCATAATTGACCGAAATAACTGAACCACTAATCATAACCGAACCGATTGAAAATCGAAACTTTCGATCGGTTTCGGTTGATTATTTTTAACTGAACTTAATGACCTAACAGACTGTAATTTCTTTAAAAATATTAGTCTAAACTCAAAAATATTAACACTAAAAACACATTACTAGTTAAAGTAGTCAATCACACAACAAATGCAAAATCAAATGTCCAAACAAATCTTAAGAGTCCATGATTTAAAGTATGCCCCAAATGAGCTCACTGCCAATGTGCCAAACTCACTTGTTGTCCTTATTTTTCTTGCTAGCACAAAAGCCGAATAGTCTATGATGAGAAGAAGGTCTGGCTGGCTGGCTTAGTTAATGCGCTCACACTGGTTCGTTTTATTTTGTATCATTTCTTGCCTTTTTTGGATTATACTGTGTTTTAATATAGTAGTATAATATCTACAATCTACAAATCTAATAAGAGCCAATAATGTTGCTGGTGGATAATTTCTCAATGTGGTTTAAGTAGCCAGAATTTACAATTTTTTCCTTGCAGTGTTGCAGCTGGTTAAGGACAAGAGAATGGAAAGCAAGAGCTTCTTGTTCAGTTGTTCCCAAACCTTGCCTCTTCAGGATCAAGCAATACAACGTTTTGATCGTTCTGCACGAATCTCTTTCAGTTCCCAGCCACAACCACCAGACTAGACAACGTTTTGAATGTGATCCATGAACCCATAACTCAACAGAATGGTGACAAAACTAGCTGAAGAGGAGCACAGATTCATGATCCCCTCAAGGCTACTTAATTCTCTGGTTTTAGACGAAAACAACAATTTGGGATCCAATACATTCACTAATTCCCCAGCCCCTCAATCTCTAATGATCATTTGCCTGGTGGATTCATCCCCAGAATTGAAGCCACACATTGCAGAAACTCAATGGCACATATCTGTGTAACCTCACAAGCTTGATGAACCCCCCTTCCTCAACCATGAACCTCATGATCTCCTCAACCCCAACAAGATTTCTCAACACCCTACAAGCCAAGGCAACCAATTCATCCCTACACTCACTATTGGACCACATTTTCAACACTCCACCTTGAGCTGAAACAGACCAGCAGCCATTATCAAAATTCTCTGTCACCTTCTTTCTGCAAACAACACCTTGTTGCATACTCTTTACTCAAATCACTCCCACTCTCCAAAATTCTAATCGCTGGCACAATTATCCCACCCCCCTTAAGCTTGAAAGCCTGCAATATAATTACTTGACACTGCTTTGGAAGCTTTCTTAATTTTCTGTTTTTATTTTTATTTTTACAACATTTATTCTAATTTTAGTCATGCATAACAAAATAAAATAATCATTTCAATTCCTGCATGCCAACTATTAAATATGCAAAATAGTTTTACCAAAATATATTCCAATTACTAACTACTTATTTCTCATGTTCAAACCAAACACACTATTAAAAATTTAAAATTTTCCTAAGATTACATCAGTATAGAAAATATTTGCTAACTACAAAAAAGAAAAAATAATATATCTATGCTACTAAACAATCTCAATATCTAGCGTTGAATTTCTTGGATAATCAACTTGGGCAGTGTACTTTTTCCAGAACCAATGGTGTTTCCAGACAACACTCATGTCTTCAATAGGAATGTTCTTCGTCTCCGGCACCAGGAAGTATACAAACACAGTCATGGCAACCACGAAACAGGCGAAGAAGATGAACAATCCAAACTTTAAGTGACACAGCATGTTGAGGAAGACTTGAGCGACGAAAAAGGTGAAGATCATGTTGACAGAGACGTTGATGCTCTGAGCCGCTGATCGGATCTCCAACGGGAATATTTCACTGGGCACGAGCCAACCCAAAGGCCCCCACGACCATGCAAATCCAGCAACGTATGTGCAGATGAAAGTCACCACCACTGCAGCAAACCATTTGGGCAAATCCCCAGGATTTCCACTGGTTCCAAATTTCACCCCAATGCAAACTGTAACAATAATCTACAGCAGCAGATTGTTTAAATTAAACAACATTAATCAATCTTATTAATTAATTAGTACACATTAATATGGAAGGTTGAGATAAAACTGTGAGTATAAAATGATTTATGTTACCTGGCAAATAAGCATTTGAATGCCACCTAGAAGGAAGAAGAACCTTCTCCCAGCTTTATCAACAAACCCAACCGAAACAAAAGTGGCGAGAACGTTAACGACACCGGTAATCACAGAAGATACAAGAGAAGCATTGCTTCCAAACCCAATGGTTTTGAACAAGACCGGGGCATAGAACATGATGACATTGATGCCAGTGAGTTGCTGGAAGAATGGAATCATCATTGACATTACGAACTGGGGCCTATACTTCCTTTTCACGAGGTTTGTCCATGGATGCTTGATTTGGTTAGAAGCATAGCTAGCAGCAACCAAGTCGTTGAACTCTTCGTCCACGTTGTCTACTCCCCTGATTCTTCTCAACCTGGATTTGGCTTCGCCGTGGTTCCCACGCTCAATCATGGAGTTTGGGGTGTCCGGGAGGAAGATGGAACCGATTGTGATGATGAGAGCAGGAACCACCGCGCCGCCCAAGCTCAGTCGCCACCCCCACGAGATCTTGGCGAAGAAATAGTTGGCCACATTGGCTATTAAGATCCCCACTGTGATGAAAAGCTGGAAGCCAATGTTGAGTGCTCCTCTGTATTTTGATGGCGCCATCTCAGATAAATAAAGTGGAACAGACTGCACAATACAAACAAAAAATTTAAAAATAAAAAATTCGGTCAATTCTTGAACAAGGGAATTTCACCTTGCCTATTCCCCAGCCGCTGCTGCATTTAGTACGCAGTTATATATTATACATATGTTTAAAAATTCTGCATTATATTATATTCATAAGTAATGACGGTTGGTGTAATATACGATGATAATATAATCGTGTATATGTATACCTCTGATCTGTTTATATACTAAATCCAAGTCTACTTATATTGTGTTATGATTAACCTTAGCTCTCAAGCATATATGTAAACATTTTTAGTATATATAACGAATCTAATTGGTGATCGAAGAATACCTGATTGGCAAATCCAATGCCAAAACCCAGCAAAACACGGCCAACGATCAACATCCAAAGAGCTTGAGCGAAGCCGTTGAGGAGAGCTCCGATGCAGAAGATGAAACCTCCGGCCATCATGGAAGTCCTCCGCCCCAATTTTCTGGTGACATACGAGGCAACCATGGAGGAAACCAGGGCGGCCAAGTACAACGAAGACGTAAACATGGTTAGAGTTTCGCTGTTAAACTTACAGTACTGATTCGTGGAAGAATCCAGGCTCTGCTTTCTATAAACATCCGGAAAAAACCTTTCCAAGAAGGTATCCATTGAAGTCACACCCCCTACCAGAAATCCAAGAAACATATATAACATCAATTTTCAATAACTTATTAAGATAACCAGGCCATTAAACTTTATACATATATATGTCGGAAAAAAACTTGTAATTATATATACCTGAAATCCCGATATCATAACCAAAAATCAGACCACCCATGGCAGCCACCATGCAAGTAACAATGACATATCCAGTAAGTTTTCCGGGATATTCCTTGGTAGATGCATGAGCAATTCCACCGCCAGCCATTGTTGGATTACCAAACTAAAGAAAACCAACAAGAGAATATATAGATTATAACAGTATGCAATAGGAGGAAGCTAAGCTAGAGAAGCAATGAGAAAGTAAGAAGAGATCCAGGTGTATTTATAGTTTGGATTAGATACTATTACCAGTTATAATAGGACAACGCATACAGTTCGATTAAGAATAGAAATTTTTGTTTCCAAAAAAAATAAAAGAATAGAAATTCCCAGTTCGATTAAGAATAGAAATTATAATTCAAGTAGACTACACTATCCTAAAAAGACAATTATCTATACACGTACTTAAACAAGAACCTTTTTTTTTTTTTTTTTTTTTTTTTTGAAACAAGAACGTTAATTTACTTGTTTCTCAAGTTAAAATCAAACCGTACAACTTTGTTTTGTAAAAGATTATATCATGGACCCAAGATCCATTTTGCTACATGGATCTTAATTATTGATATATCTTTATTTTTTATATATTGTCTATTTTTTTTTATAAATTTATTATATTTTGGTATAAATTTATTTTTAGATTATTACAACTTATATCATGAGTTTATTTTGTTATGTAAATCCTGATTCACGATATAAGCATTTGTTTATGTCCCATCGTTATGCTATGGACCCGTGTCCAGCATGCTGGACACGGGTAACAGTGCCGTTAGGCACTGTTATCTCCTTTTTTTTTTTTTTTTTTTAAAAAAAATTTCAGACCGCTTCATTATAGGAGTATATGTTCATAATTTTATTACTATATGTTAATAACTGTACATTCATAACTCCATAACTGTACGTTCATAACTCTATAACTGTACATTCATAACTCCATAACTGTATATTCATAACTCCATAATTGTACATTCATAATTTTCGAAGTTCTATGTTCACAATTTTAGAGCTCTATGTTCATAATTTTATCACTATATGTTCATAATTGTAAGTTCATAATGTCAGAGCTCTTTGTTCATAATTCGATCAATAACTGTACATTCATAATTCCATAACTGTAGATTCATAATCTCATAACTGAAGATTCATAACTCCATAACTGTAGATTCATAACTCCATAACTGCACATTCATAACTCCATAACTGTATATTCATAATCTTCGAAGCTCTATATTCACAATTTTAAAGCTCCATGGTCATAATTTTATCACTATATGTTCATAATTGTAAGTTCATAATGTTAGAGCTCTGTGTTCATAATTTCATAATTGCATAACTGTACATTCATAACGGCATAACTATACATTCATAATCAAAAAAAAAAATAACGCCGTTAACGGCAAAACACGCGCAGATTTTTTTTTATATAACTAAATGATTCGTTTTTTTTTTTAAAAAACGACGTCGTTTTGGGCCCATGTCCACAATTCATTGTGGACACGGTCCAGGGCATAATTTGCCGTTTATGTCTACGTGGGCCATGGGGTTTCAAAATTCAGCCCAAGTTGGTTTTCAATATTGGGCCAAGAATGGGGTTTGCAGATTGGGCTAGGGTTCAAAAGCCCAAATTCCTGTTTTTGGAAGCGTTATGCTGTGCAACTGTGTGCACCATGCGGTTGCAAAAATGATGTCGTTTTGACATCTGACTTTAAAAAAAATCAATTTCGATTGCTGTTAACAGCGTTATGTTGTGCATAATTTGAATTATATAATTCATTCGTTCTAGATATATAGTTCATTCGTTCTGAATATATAGTTCAAATTATGCATAACATAACACCGTTAACGACAATCAAAACTGATTTTTTTTTTTAAGTCGGACGTCAAAACGACGTCGTTTGCAACCGTATGCACCATGCATGATGCACATGGTTGCACATCATAATTTGCCCCTGTTTTGATCTCCTAATGTTTGTCTGGTCTTGGATTAGCCCTTTTCATTTATTAATATAAAAATAAATATAATAAAAAAAAAGTGGGAATGCATTAAAAGTAGAGCTGTTAATACGGGCTGGCGGGAGGGACAGAGCAGGTAAAAAAAATTCGCTCTTTGACAGGCTGCTATTTTCGAAACCCACGATGGATTGGCCCGACGAGCAAAGTCCATTTTGACGGCTCTAATTAAAAGAAATTGCCATACAAAATCCAAAAACAGCTATGAATGGATTTTTGCGTGGGGACTGTGAAGTGTTGAGCAGCAACCTGCTGGACCCTTGTGATCCAATGTCCAGACCCTTTTGTCAACTTACTCAAATAGTTCTTCAATGCAACACAACTTTCACCTTGTGATCTTCTCCTCTCCCTTCAACCCATACAATAAAAATTAACAAATATTAGGGAGACCATGCCATGCCATCAACACAAACACAAATGATCATAGATTAGTGAATGTGATTTTTACATCTAATTTACATTAAATGGAGAAGCCCCTCACTGCCAAAATGCAGGTAGTACATTCTTTATTTCCTTTGCACAACCCATGAATTGAATAGGGGCATAGAAATTTTCAAAAAAAAAAAGAATAGGGGCATAGAAATCTGGAGGAGAACGAAGCAGTTTATGTTCTTCAGTTTCTAAAAAACGGAACCAAGCTGTCCTAAAACAAAAGATTTGATTTTGTTCGTCCTTCACCTTTTGATGCCCAAGGTTCCAACCTTCTTCCGTTTTATTGCTGTCTTCGACGCTTTCAAGAATTTCACTAAATACAACATTTTTACAGAGCGCCCCTCCATCGTGCCTCAAAAAATAAGCTTCTATCTGCAAACTGTTAGCAGTATAATGAGTCCACTTTAAACAATATCATCATTCTTCTAAAGAAAATGCGTAGGATTTTGGTACCCGAACAATTTTTGTCACGAGTGGAATGAATAACAAATCAAACAGAAGACAACGCCCCAGAAAACGTGCACAACTTTTCTGAATGCACTTATTTGGGTGTGACGTGCAGGGGTGAGTCTTATCGTGCATGCACCGCTTGCTATTGTTGAGTTCCCCGTCTGGCTTGTTCTGTTATTGCTTGTAGTCTTACTGCACCCACAAGAATTCAGACTTAAAAGTTCATAACTACAAACTTTCCATAAATCAAGAATTTGGAAACGAGAATGACGAGGAGAAAGGAAGGACAATAACGACAGCAAAGAATTGGAACTTTTGTTTACCTTCCAGGAAACACACAGCTCCCGTGACCTGCAGAGTAAAGCCCGTGATCATTATATGTAACGGGAAGCAAAATTCTTGAATAATAAGGTTGCTGGAAGCATGGTCAAGTTACCTAAAGGACGATAACTATATTGCCAACAAGTTTTTAAGTCGTTTTGTGACAGTAAACCAAATAAAGCTATCCAATTTACGTCTAAAATCTCAAGATTCTTTTAGCACGAACTGTATATTGAATGGCATATTATGAAGTAGTATTATGTGCACTTACTTGGATCAGTGGTGGTGATTGTAGCAGAACCCTTGAAGTCACAAGAACCAATAGACTTTCCTTCTTTCTGGTAATAGCTATCGAATGCATAAGACGCATGGTTCTTCACGTCATTAGGCTTATAACAGCTCTCCCCTGGCTGAATTTCTGAGCAATTTGCCATCCCCGGGCCACAAGCCCAGTCCAAAGCAGCCTGCAAAGTCTTTTTATCAATCCCGTCCATGGCTATGCAATATGTTTGGTTCGTCGTATCATTAGCCAAGAATGTACCACTTCCGGATACATGAAGCAAGTAAACAGGCGTTGAATTCCCATAAAACAACCCCCAATTAGCCTCGGAAATTGGAGGTGACCTCAAATCCTCGTTGAACAACTCGTATATATACACATTAGAAGTAATTTCCGGATGCAATGGCGTTCCAGCATGATCGAAAATATGCTTAATTAAATTGGAATTAAAGGTGTCAGCATTGTCAATTGTAGCATAGGGCTCTTTAGAGTCCCCCTTCGAAGGCCACCCCGTCTCAGTAACAAGAACCACCACATCCGTAACATTCAGATTCTTCATCGAGTAATACACAGAATCAATCATCGCATCAAACACGTTAGTGTAGTGAAGCAAAGTATTCGGGTCCACCATTTCTTTGGAAGGTGTCAAGGGCTTGAAAAGCGAATTCTCCAGAGGCACAACCCCCTTGTTCTGCATAAACACATAGTATGGGTACAAATTCATCATCAAAGGAGACCCAGTCCTGGACAAGAACTGCAGCAATTGAGACACAACCGAGCTCAACGACTGATTGAAAAAGGCCTGGGAAGGCGGGAACGGGTCCAAAACAATGGAAGCAGCATTAGGGGTTGAAATCTTGATCTGGGTATGCAAATTAGCAGCCACCAAAGCACTGTACAGAGACTCAATTGCAGGCATAAGCAAAGGAGCTGAGCTGGGAACAGTGGTCAACACTTCATCCCCAACAGCAATGGCAGTAATGAGAGTCTGTGGGTAAAAAGCTGCCACATTGCGCCCAATCCAGGCAGCAGCAGTGGTGTTGGAGGACCCTATGGCAAGAAGCTGATTGTTGGGCACACTCACAATAACCCTAATCTTAGTCTTGGCAAGAGCCTTGAGCATTTCAGGGTCAGCATCATATAGCCTTATGTGTGTTATCTTCTGCAATTGCAGAAAAGACACCAAGTCTGCTGGAGACACGAAATTGGAAACATCTGTGCCTATGTTCACCCCCACATATGGCTCTTCTTCACCTTGAACCTTAACCTCTGCAAAAGATTCAAACTTTGACACCCAAAAACAAACAATTACAGTAACTAATTAAAGGGTTGGATTTTGGAAATAGCACCTGGGTAAAGGTGGGAGCTTGGAGCAATGGCGACGACAACGAGGAACACGGAGAGGAAAAGGGCGTGCTTAGAAATCGCCATTAAGGAGAGGTTTGAGGTTTTCTTGTACCATCTTCCACCCCAGACCTCGTTAACGTTTGCATAATATCCCAGGAAATTTAGGCAGCTGTGCTGTTTGATGTTTTTCTATTTACTGTTTGAGAGAGGTTTTGACTTGTAAGATCTGGCGTTGAAAGAAGAGAAAGGACTCAAGTAAAAGAACACTGTTGGATCTGACTTTGGCTGTGAAATGAGAAATAAAAACCCTTTGAGCTGAGGACCGACAAGGGAATAATCTTTTGAGGATTATCTGACGTTAACATAGTTATTTAAATATACCCTATAAACTAATCTAATCTACTTTGCTCTGTAGATTAAAGTGGATGGAAAGTTTTCAAAGATGATGGCACTATGGCAGCCTAACTGCCCTTTATCCTTTTTATCACCATGAATGGATACAAAAGTTTAGTAGTCATTTGCATTAATAATTGGGGCCTTTTTACAGGGAAATTTGTCTATAAGCTCCACAGGGCACTGTACAAAATAAGTTTTTGTAGCTTCATTGTGTGATGCATTATGCATAGTAGGTAAAGATGAACTTCTTGCCTACTTGATGGATCTTGAATTGCAGGGTGGCCCAGACATAACTCGATTGATTAATCATTTAAAAGTAAGGTTACACTAATCCAGAAAAACCATGTGAAATTTTTTGCTTACAAACACCATTATACAAGCACTTGAAAAAGCTTGAGACGGAAAGTGGGAGCTTTTAGGGTATACCGGGTTTAGGGTATAAACTATTTGGGTGACGAGGAAAACCTGCAGTCATTATTTGAAAGTGTGCAATGGGTAAACCCCGCCTTGTGACCCTAGCTAGCAAAGGACTACACGAATGTAAACTAGTCTAGATTACCCATATACGATTGACTCATACCAAGAAGACTAATAGACCACGAACTTGTAACCTTGTGGTTACTAAATAAACAATCTAACTAACTTGATTGGGTAGCGACAGAGGATAAACTATTTTGAATTGAAGGGGGTGGACCTTGGATTCTTAACTTGAAATGACCAAAACTGCCTACATTGTATGACAGATGTCAAAGCAGCTGTATGGATGACATTATGGAGTGGTGATTAGATGTAGGTGGAAATGCTTTTCTGTAAAAATGCTTTTGCAGGAATGTTCCCACTGCTTATTACATCTGTAAAGTGGATGATGAATGCATCTGTACTGTTCTACCAAGCCACAAGGCTATAGCATGGGAGGGCAAGAACATCCATTTTCCATTGAAGAAAACTAATATGTACAATTATTGGATCTATGGATTGTGGAAGAAGAAGTTACAGATTGTGAGTTCATCTTAGGGCATCCACAAAAGCCAGCAAGGAGTCTGTGTCCCTCTTCTCCGACCCATACTTGATCGGCCGAGATGAGTTCTTGGGGAAGAAAAGGATGGTGGGGAAGCTCACAAGCTGCAGTTCTTGCTGTGCAAATGGTTTCTGCTCACCATCTGCCCTGAACTTTGCAACCTTCACACCAGACCCTGCTAACTTCCCTGCCAGTTCAGTGTATGATTCTTCCATGGCCTGCAGGGAATTGAATCATAGTTCTTTGCTGTGATTATATTATGCTCAACGGGAAGAGATAATACGGGGTCGGGGGTTGATTATATTACCTGGGAGAAGCGGCACCAGGGGGCGTAAAGAACAACAACCCAAGGCTCGTCCTTTCTGTCTGCCGTTTTCAACATGTTCTCGATTCCAGGCCTGGTTAAGGTTACAATGTTGTTGGTATTGAAAATGTCACGTTCGATGGTGTTGGCACTCGAGATTAATGTGTCCTTAACGTTGGCTTTGTGCAAACCGCATTCCTTGGCTGCTGCATCTTCCCACCACCACCTCCCTTCTCTCTCGTGCTGCCCGGGGAGGACAGGTCTGGTGCAGGGTTCACACCCGATGGAGATGTATCCCCGGGAATGCAACGAGTTCACGGGCACATTCATCACTCTCAGGAAGTCCCAAACATCCTTTCCATCCACATTTGCCAGAGGGTTCCACTTCACCAAGCTGCCAACCCCGCCATCCAGGCCCTCAAACGAGGGGTCTACCTGTTAGGAAACAATTATTTCTACAGTCTCCCACTCTATTCATATAAGCGTGACACCTTTATTATATGAATCAACATTAGCAATATATTATATCTAGTACTACCTGCACAACTGGAATTTCAGATCGAGTGCCAGGGGATTGATCCTTCCGTTGCCCAGTGATCCAGGCGCGTAACTGCTTTAGCGCCCTCCTCAACGGCCTCACCTTCCTCACACGGCAGCACTCCTGGTGACCATCCTCATAAAACGAGAAAAGCCCCTTGCTCCTCACTAGCCCCTGAACTTCAACCGCATCAGGAAACATGTATTCCACACGAATTCCATAATGTTTCTCGACTGTGTCAAAGAACCT